CTAAACTCCACATGCATGCCATCCCATGAGGTGGGCTTTTATGATTTTCCAAAGAATTAATCTTCGAGTTATCTAAGGCCCATTCATTAATTCCAACAGATGTTGCTAATTTTTTTTAATAAACTAGAAAAATTGTCTGTGCGTTGCGACATGTGAAGGTTATTTTAATTGTATTATTGTTAGATTTTTTTTTGTTTTAAAAGTATATGAGATTTTTATTTTGATAGTATTGATATGTAATTCGGAAGCCTCTTTAAGATGATAGCCATATCTTATACGTTGCTTTCTTATGGTCCGACAAGAAGCAATTAGGAGTACGACTATTGTTCCAAGTTAGCATGCGAGTTTTTTTTAATTATTTCTTATACGACTCCTTATGTATTTCTAAAAGCGAATAAATTTAAAAACCGACTCAAATACGAATGACATACCAAAAGTATCGGCGGAAATATTTTCAATTTTTATAATAGTAGAGATAGATTTTTTTCGTTCAATTTGTGTGCTGCGCTGTATTTTCTAATTGGTGAAAAGAAGTTCGTTGGAGCAATTTGTGGTATACTTGCATACATGCGTTCTTTGTTGTTGCTGACTAGTTGCATACGTGGGCAATGATAGAGAGTCGGACTCACGGCACCCACTATGTGATGACGAAGGATAAATACGGGAGGATATATAAGAGTCGGATGTTAAAATTAAAAATCAATTAAATACGAATGACGTAACACCAAAAATTTATTAAATACGAATGACGTAACACCAAAAATTTTATAATAGTAGAGATTTAGACAAACCTGTTAAACTGGTAAAAAGGTCAGCTCGACCCAGCTCGACCCAACTGTGACGTCGACCATTTAATACTGGAAAAAGTACACCGAAGGTCCCTCAACTTGTCATCGAGTTACAAGATCGTCCCCTAACCGCAAAACACCGGATGTAGCGCATCCTTCATCTTATAAAACCAGTGCAAAGTAGGTCCCTCGGCGATTTTGACTCCAGTTTTGTCCACGTGGCAGCTGACTCACGGTGGGACCCACGTGGCCCCCACCCGTCAGCCTCTTCATCCCCTCCCCTCTCTCCGATCCTCTCCTCTCTCATCCCCTCTCTTCTCTCTCATCCCACCCGTGGAGCGGCGGCGCATGGAGCCGGCAGGATGGAGCGGGGCGGCGGCGGGCGGAGTGGGCCGATGATGAGGTAGACCGGTGGTGGGCGGAGAGGGGCGACGGCGAGGTAGACCGGCGGCGGGTGGAGAAGGCGAAAAGGGAGATGGCGGTGGAGACAACGGTGGCGCGATGGAAGGCATCAGAGGAGATGGGGAGCGCACTCCACGCCGTCGTGTCTCGTCGTCGCTGCTCCAAACACTGCTCCTCGTCCCCTCTTTGTGTCGTCGGTGGAAAGAATCGGCGGAGCCCGCGCACCGCTGGCGAGAAGGAAGCTCGGACGGAGGACGACCTCATCCTCCACCTCATCGCGGGTGGCCTGCAGCTTGGCGGTCCCCCATCAGATGGCCTCTAGCTTCAACGATGATGACACTGCCACACTGTCGGGCGTCGTCGAGTGGGGCGGAGCAGGCAAGCCAGCAAGGCGGTGGCGCGCGAAGCCGGCAGGTGGCGGGTGGCGAAGCCGGCGGCGTGGAGCGGGCGGGTGGGCGTGACGCGCACCACCTCTTCCTCTTCCCCATCTCCTCCATCTTCGTGCCGCCGTCCCTCGCCACATCCACCGCCGCCGACGGCTGGATCCAGGGCGGCACCGTGCCTGAGGGCGGCCCCCACGCTGCTCCGCACCATCAGCCCCGACGGAGAGCCGCGCGCTACCCACGGTTGGCCGACAGCTGCGCCCCCACACCGTGCCGGGGCAGCCCGCCGTTAGCCGCGGCGCCAAGAGGGAGGAACGGTCGCCCCTACCTCGCCTTCTCCCATGGCGGTCAACCCCCACCTCGCCTTCTCCCGCCGCCCTCGCCACCTCGCTAGACAACGGCTGTGGCCTCTACTACCGCTGCTTCCTCTTCTCTCATGTCACCCTCGCTGCCGCGTGTCGCCGGCCACCGTTGCTCTCTTCCCTCCCATTTCGCCCCGCCGACTGGCCTGCGAGAAGACAGAGAAGAGAGAGAAAGGGAGAGGAAGGGAAGGAGAGAGGATGATGGCGTGGCATCCTGACATGTGGGGCCCATGTGGGTCCCATGCTGAGTCAGCTGCCATATCGGCCAAAACCGGATCAAAACCGCCGAGGGACCTAGTTTGCACTGGTTTTGTAAGATAAGGAATGCGTTGTATCTGGTTTTGCAGTTCAAGGACGATTTTGTAAATCGATGACAACTTGAGGGACCTTGGGTGTACCTTTTCCTTTAATCCCATGGGTCCTCCAGCCCGCCCGTCGTGGTGTCCTCTCCGCGGCCCACAGCCTGACCCCGTGTTTGGGCTCATGGCCATGTTATCTGGGCGGCCCAAAAATGCGGCTCTGTTGGATAGGCCTAAGAATCCACACTTTCCGTGCCCTTCAGCCCACAGAACAATTGGTCGCATCTACGCGGTCCATTACTAACGGCCGGCACATCTACTAACCCGTTTAGGCCCATATAACTATAAGTAACATGGCGTGGCCTGCGCGAACCCACATTCTGCCCAAGGAAAAAGTACACCGAAGGTCGGACTTGTCATCGAGTTACAAAATCATCCTCCAACCGCAAAACCAGATACCGGACGTCCCTCAACAAACAAAACCGTTCACTTTTGATCCTCATGTGATTTTGACCCGGTTTTGTATGACGTGACGGCTGAATCAGCGTGAGACCCACGTGGGCCCCACATGTCAGAATGCCAGGTCATCTCTCTCCTCCCCTCTTCTCTCCCTTCCTCATCTCTCTTTGACTCCTCTCCAATTTGATGGCAGCGACGGGCGACGCCGCAGCGGTGGGGAAGCAGCTGCGGGCGGGAAGTGGGGGAGGGGCGGCGGGGGTAGGAACGACGTGCGGGATCCCCCGCCGGCCGCCACCCACGAGGTCCACGACCACGAGGCGGCATGGGCAGCGTCAAGTTCGGCTGCTCCACTGCGACGGGCCGACTCGTTCCCGGGCGACAGGCTGGTCGGGCTCGGCGGCGGCGCGGTCTCCCTCGTGACGTAGCTCGGCGGCGCGGCATCGCTCGGCCAGAGATTCTCCTACAGTCGTACTGCCTCGTCCCGCACTCCGTCAACACCTCGTCGGCGCTCAACTTCGGTGCCCTCGCCAACGTCACCGAGCCCGGAGCGGCAAGCACGCCGCTCGTCGTTGGGGACGTGGACACGTACTACACCGTGGTCCTCGACTCCGTCAAGGTCGGCAACAAGACGGTGGCGTCGGCGGCGAGCTCCCGCATCATCGTGGACTCCGGCACGACGCTGACATTCCTCGACCCAGCTCTGATGGGACCACTTGTCGACGAGCTCTCCCGCTGGATCACGCTGCCGCCGGTGCAGTCGCCGGACGGGCTGCTGCAGCTGTGCTACGAGGTGGCCGGGCAGGAGGTGGAAGCCGGAGAGAGAATCACAAATCACATCGATAAACATCTATACTCCATCGTGGAATCTTGTTCAGATAATCACAGTACTTATGTAGAAAGGATAGTAAGATACAGAAATGCAAAAATAAGCTTTGTAAGTGAACAGAACAATCTCAAGCTAAGCTGTTCTTTTATCAGAAGAACAGGATTTCAAGATATTTTGTGGCGCCGGTTTCGCTGTCTTACCTCGCTATACATTCTGTGAGAGATCAAATTACATGACCCATAAATTGTAGAGCAATGCAGGAGTAACACTCCCAGCTGAGAAATTGATTGATGTATAGCACTCCGATCTTCGTTAGGCGATGCAATGAGAATTCAGAATTCTCACCAACAGCCAGCTTGCTAGAATAGAGTATGAGTTACTGATCTTGAATGACCTCTTGTGTACAGCCAGCAGGAAGTGAACCGAACAGGCGAGTCCGGACTTGACGCTGGAGTTCGGACTTGACGCCGGACTTGACGTTGGCGCTGATGCCGGAGAACGCGTTCGTGATGGTGCAGGAAGGGACGCTGTGCCTGGCGATCGTGGCGATAACGGAGCAGCAGCCGGTGTCCATCCTCGGGAACCTCGCGCAGCAGAACATCCACGTCGGCCACGACCTCGACGCCGGCACGGTCACCTTCGCCGCCGCCGACTGCGCGGGGAGCGGCCGGTCGGCGGAGCAGACGAGCGGCGGGCAGGCGCGCCGCAGGAGAGGAAGATGGCGCCGACGGGGATCGGGACGGGGAGAGCGAGGACGTCGCCGCCGTCGTCGTCCATGGCCGCAGATCTTTCGTCCGCGCCGTCAGCGGCGTCGCTGGCGGGTGTGTGTGAGCGCGGGGTAGCGGCGGGTGGAGCAGGCGGTGGTGGGCGGAGCGGGCACGACGCCGAAGACAGCTTCTTCCCGCGCCGGCGCCTCCGGCCGCTTCTCCCTTCTCAAGCGTTGCAGCCGCCGCCACCTCCCTTCTCCCGTGTCGTCGTCGCCGCCGCCGCCGCCTCCCGGGCCTCTCCGACGGTCCAACCCCGAGGTCGCACGCGCCGCCGCCGCCGCCGCCGGACCTCCTCCCCACCCGCCAGCCGCCCTACAGAGAGGAGAGAAGTGAGAGAGAGATGAGGAAGGGAGAGAAGAGGGGGACAGATGACCTGGTATTGTGACATGTGGGGCCCACGCTGACTCAGCCGCCACGTCAGATAAAACCGGGGTCAAAAGCACCGAAGGATGTAAAGTGAACGGTTTTGTTAGTTGAGGAACGCCCGGTATCTGGTTTTGCGGTTGGGGGATGATTTTGTAACTCGATGATAAGTTGAGGGACCTTGGGTGTACTTTTTCCTACTGCCCAAAGCACCCGCACTGTTGGATCAGCCCACGAGCCCGCACTTCCTCCACGGCCTAAATAGCAATGGGCCGACGATTGCCCAAATGTTAACCGGCCCATGGACCGGCCCTTCTAGATCCGTCCTCAACTACGGGGGACCTGCCTGTGCTTGGGCGTGTCCGTACGGTCGCCGCCCGCGGCCGCGCTGCCTCCGCCTCCGCCCCCCGCGCCGCCGCCCGCACGCTCGGCGCGCCGCCGCCGCCCAAACCCTAGCTCCATCTCCCGCTTCCCCCAGCCGCCGCTCTGCTCCCCGCGAGCTCCTCGCCGGACCAAGCCGCCGCGGGCGCCACTCCCCCCCACCGCTAGCCTCTCTCTCTCTCTCTCGTCGTCCGCTCGCCCCGTCGCCGCGCGTCGGTCGCAGTCGCGGTTGCTCCGCAGGTATAGGTTCACATGCTCTTACCTCCAATCACATGTCGCGGTGGATCGCTGGTTCCATGCTCTGAATCACTTAAGCTCAGTGTGCTAATTTTCCCACGGTTGTAGTTGGAGTAAGTTGAGTAAAGAACAAGTACTGGTCGGTGTGATATTTAACTGAAGTAAATCAAGCAATGAAAAGGTTCACCTAACTGTTTAGTCTACCTAGCTTTATTTAGTATGAATCCGGGTATTCTATCCCTCTAAATATGGAAACGGATTCACATAACTCCTAGGTGTGGTTCTGTAGGTGATTCGCCGCCATGGCGTCCGACGTGGCTAGCGGGCGTTGATGATTTACGTGATATAACTGCAAAACCGGTAGCTTGGTTGTCATTATAAATTTGGTATCAATATAATTAGAAGTTTCATGTGGCTATAGAGATGGATTTGATTTTGATTCGTATTTATTACCTCTTGAGATGCACTCATAGTGTAGTGGCAGGGTTGGCTGGCATGCACCCCATCCGCCTGGGTTCGATTCTCCTCGAGCATGCTCACCGGAAATATTTTGCTTCTTTCTTCTTAAAATCATTGACACCAAGCCCTTCCTTGGTGTCCAACTTTTTTATTTATTAGCTCTTCTCTTTTTTGGTGATGATAGCATATGTCTTCAAAGTTGCGGTTAGCGTTTCCGGTCAATAGGGTGTCCAGTTGTGCTGCGTATGAATCCCATATATGGCGTTGTTTCTGCAGGAAATTATAAACTTTCCTGTTGGCTTAACTCTGTTGAGCATATATGCCTTAGAGAGCTTCTGCAATGGAAGGGTCTGATTCTAGTCGAAGTCGTGACAAGAGAGATGCTGATGACGATGTTGATGCTAGGAGCAGTTGGAAGGAAGATGACGAACATGAGGATGTCGAAGACAGAAAAAATCGTTCTGGCAAGTCAACAAGGTACATCTATGATGATGAAGGTGATGAGGATGATTACGATGTAAGAAGGGAATCACGGGTGTCCAAGGTCCCAAGGAGAAGCCCAGAAGAGAGAAGTGAGAGGAGATTGTCCGACGGGTACAAGGACAGAGATGGGGATAGCAGCAGGAGGAGAAGAGAGGACAATAATGATTGGGATTCTTCAAGAAGATCTGGCTCCAGAACTTCCGGTCATGATGTCTCTCGTAGTAAAAGCAGGTCCTCTGATCGGACCAGTTCTGATAGAGCTGATACAAGAGATAGTAGGTCCTCTGCTGATCAAAGTAAGAACAGGAGCGCAAGAGAGGCTCATGATTACAGGAATGAATTGAGTGAAAGATGGGAAGACACTGAGAGGAGAAAGGGTTCAGCCAGAACTGATAAGAATGATCAAGATAGACGATCAATTGATCCAAGGTACGACTCACCTCCAGCTAGAGATGATAGGATAGTTGATTCTGTTGATAATACTAGACAAAATACATTGCATTACAATGCAAAGTCTGAAGAGAGCGATGAGAAATGCATGGATCAAGTGGAAGGTACAAATAGAATAAGTGATAATGTGGAAACAAAGGATATGCTGCCTTATGTAGACAAGGATGGGCATGCATTGTCAAGGGATGGAAGAAACAAAGAAGCTAGACATCATAGAGAAAAGGATGATGGCGACCAAGGTCATTCGGACTCAGATAATGAAAGAAACATAAGCATGAAAGAAAAAATAAGAGTGGATGCTCATGGAGATTATAAGTCCTATAGAGGGAGGGACAGAAATAGAGAGTTGGAAGGATCTAAAGAACATTGGGGGAGTCGTCAAAGGCATGATTCGAAGGAGCCTAACGACTATGATGTTGGTGCAGAATGGAGGCATGGACAAGAAAGGTTAGATGGGGGAAATTTTCATGGAAGGTCTGGGTACAGGAAAGATTCCAGGGGCAGATATGAGAGCAGCAAAGGTCCTTCATCATATGGAAATCGATATGACAGTTCTGATTCAATAGAAATTCGGCCTAATAGGAACCTTGATTTTGGAAGGGAGAGCTCTGTTTCTGGAAGAAGAATCAACATGGGATCCCTTCAGGATTTAACACCTGGAACAAGTGATCCATCTGAGGAGAACAAAAGAAATTATGGAAATGGTGAGGATGCACAGGAGAGATACTATGATGATGTCCAAAACATGGATGGTAAAATTCCTTCCGATTCTCATACTGGGAGAGGAGGAGCAATAGCATCAAATAATTCAGGAGCCGGTCCAAGTGGCAGTGGGAGTATAATTTCTCCAACTCCTCAGCAAGGGCCAAAAGGTAGTAGGCCCTCTAGAGGTTTACGAGGAAGACCAAATGTGAGGGACCCTCAAAGAATGGGACTTCCAGTGCCGCTGATGCCACCTCCACCATTTGGACCTCTTGGTCTGCCACCAGGTCCTATGCAACCAATTGGACCAAACATGTCCCATTCTCCCGGTCCTCTTGGACCTGGTGTTTTCATTCCACCATTTCCCGGGCATCTTGTTTGGCCTGGGGCGCGGGGTATTGATGTGAATATGCTTTCTGTTCCAACCAACCTTCCTATCCCTCCAGTAGCGGGACCTAGTTTCACTTCCAGTGTAGCAGCTGGCCCCAATCATAGCATTCACTTAAATCAAACAGGCAGTGGGTTGGGATCTCCAGCGAATGCACCAGGAACTGGTTTTAATCCATTGTCTACACCAAATCATGAAATACTGCAAGATAAACCACCTGCGGGTTGGACACCGCAGCGGGGGCCTGCTGGAAAAGCTCCTTCACGGGGTGAACAAAATGATTACTCACAGAACTTTGTGGATACTGGCATGCGACCTCAAAATTTTATCAGAGAACTGGAGCTTACAAGTGTAGTGGAGGACTATCCTAAGCTTAGAGAACTCATACAGAGGAAAGATGATATTGTTTCTAACTCAGCTTCAGCACCAATGTACTACAAGTGTGACCTGAAAGATCATATGCTTTCCCCAGAATTTTTCGGCACAAAATTTGATGTTATTCTTATAGATCCTCCATGGGAGGAATATGTTCATCGTGCTCCTGGTATCACTGATCATATAGAGTATTGGACTCCTGATGAGATTATGAATTTGAAAATTGAGGTTATCTTTTTTGACTTACTATCCTTTCTATTTTATTTGTCATCCTGTATGTTTTATGGAATTTCTTTATAATGGTAAGTTTATTTTACCCAGCAGGCCATAGCTGATACACCCTCATTTATCTTCCTCTGGGTTGGTGATGGTGTTGGTCTTGAACAAGGCCGCCAATGCTTGAAGAAGGTAGGCCAGCTGCCTCTTCGCACAAATTCATATTTTTGCAGGTGCTGTTTTTATTTGTGTCCTTGTAAATTGCTAGATTTCTGATATTTTTTCGGAGAGTACAACAAAGTAACCAAAGTCCTTTATGGCTTTTTGCACTAAATCTGAATTTACAATTTACTTACCAAACTTGAGCTGTCTTGCGGCATTAGCATTAAATTAAACTTGTAGAATTCATCTGCCAATATTGTGCTTCAGAGAGCAATGTTCATGACATGATTTATGCACCTCTTTTACTGTGCCAATTTCTTGGTGGCGCAATTCCTTGTATGTCTCTGAATAACCGCATATATGGCATGGATATGCTACTCATTCTTACTAGTATGTGTCCAGTCAGCCTCACAATGAGTGGCATATTGCGCATCATTCGTTATTCAAATAGCATTATTGATCTTCTCTTTCTGTTTTCTGCATTTACTCTTCCCAAGCTTTAATTTGCAAAAGATCGTATCCTTAAAATGTTCACTTATTTAATAAATACTTAGGTATTTCATTGAATTTCTTTGGAAGGATGTACCAATATTTTGAACCAAGTGATGAACAATAGTAGTGGAATGCATGTTGATGAAATTTCTCCTTGTGTAGTGGGGATTTCGTAGGTGTGAGGATATATGTTGGATTAAAACCAACAAGAAAAATGCAACACCAGGTCTGCGCCATGACTCTAATACATTATTCCAGCATTCAAAGGTTAGTTGACTATATTTCCCATTCTTTATATAATTTCACTTTTACTAGTTTTCTATTTAAGTATAAATTCTTTCTTTGTGCAGGAGCATTGCTTGATGGGCATAAAAGGAACTGTCCGGCGCAGCACTGATGGGCATATTATCCATGCAAATATTGATACTGATATAATAATAGCTGAGGAACCTACTGATGGTATTTCTTTCATTCTTTCTTTTTATAATCCTTAATATCATTATTCTCCTTGTTTCCGCTTTGCCAACGTCTGAATTACATATTTGCTTATGGCTCCATTACTCTTGAGGCTTCCTACATTGAATGTTACCACTGATTCCTGTATGAACAATTGGGTCTCTTCTCTTATCCTGATATATAATTTCAGTTGCTTCCACACCTTGTTCATGCTCCTTTATTCCATTCCAGTTTTAGTTATATTTATTTTTATGATGGTATGAATGTTCCTGTTGCATTATTATGTAGATGAAAAATATACTATGTATATCTTCTTGACGAAATATCAGTTTGGTAAATATTTGTATTTCACATTTTCACCTAAACTTAACAAGTTTCTTTTGAAAAGAAAAAAAAAACGAGGTGTAGGGGTCAACACAAAATTTGAAGCTCGAACACAATTGCATTTGAGAGAGAGAGAAAAAATTCTACTGGCCAACGTGAAAGCATTGTGGGCCACTTTGGGCTTTATTTACCATAGTGTTGATTATTTACGTTAAAATCAGTATCACTGTGCATTATCTGGCATATGCTCAGTAGGATGATGTCCTTATTCTCCATTTGTTGTTCATAACTTTCACACGTCAGTTCAGAGACATCATTTATCGCTTTGGAGTCCTAGAGCTACTTAATCATTCACATAAAGTAATTCCTTTGCGAATTGCAGTGTCATACTTTGCCAGTTTTTGTGTCTTTACCTTTAATGATGCTTGGCTTGTTTTGCCATGGTAGATCAAGAAAGCTATCCATATATAACATATAGGCTCTGTTTGTGGCTGCTGTGTTGTGCTTATTTTTTAATTTGATGTAAAAAATTAAATATTTAATCTTTATAGTTTGTTTTACAAACTAATAAAGTTAGAAAAAAAATGTTATCCAACTATCTAGTCTCTCCCTATTGTCGCATATTTTCAGAACACAATAATATCATTGTTTGCTGCTTAGATTAGAAAAAAGATTGCCAAATGCTAAAAGTTTCTTAAAGCAGTTGCAGCAAACGAGATCATCATGATCCACCTCGATACCAACAGTGCCTTAGAATCCTCATGCAGTTTTTGCTTTTCTTTTCCCCCCTTAGCTCCCTATTGTGAAGTTGTTCATACTTCCATGTTGATGCTCAGTGGGAGCCTCCATGTTTTCCGATTTACTTGGAGTGGTGGTAACATAGGGGAATGTGGTATGGTAGAAATTTATAATGTGTGATAAATGCTGCGACAGGGATCAATTTTGAATTTGTAAAAAGTGGAAAAACTCTGAAGTTCTTGTCGAATCTATTTCGGAACCTTGGGTTGCACTCTATTTGTACCTTACTTTGCTACTTTTGCAAAAATAAAATAAAATAAAATGTGTGCTCCCTCAAGAGCTTTATAAGAACATTAATACAAACAATCATGTCTATGGCACAGATCATCTCTGTTATTTAGTATTGTCTTGCTCCATGAAGAGTCACTTATTTATTTCTTGGTATACAGGTTCAACAAAAAAGCCAGAAGACATGTATAGGATCATCGAGCATTTTGCTCTTGGAAGGAGGCGCCTCGAACTCTTTGGTGAGGACCATAATATCCGTCCGGGCTGGCTAACTCTTGGGAAAGGCTTATCTTCATCAAACTTCCATAAAGAGGTACAAGGAAGGTCATATAACAGTTTAAACCCTAACTATCTGAGCATCTCAAGTACTTGTTCTGAGCCCTAAAATTTGCTTGCTTGCAGGCATACATCAAGAACTTCATGGACAGGGATGGAAAAATATGGCAGGGAGGCGGCGGGCGGAATCCACCTCCAGATGCTCCTCACCTTGTCGTTACAACTCCAGAGATCGAGAGCCTCCGTCCCAAGTCACCCCCGCAAAAGAGCCAGCAGCAGCAATCCATGCCTCCAATGGGATCTAGCAGTTCTACAAACAGGCGGTCTGTCATGAACTCCTCGCAGATCGTCGTGACGGTTGTTGGCTCTGAAACAATGATGCCATCTCCATGGTCTTCCAACCCAATGTCAGGTTTTGGTATGCCTGAATAGTTTTGTTCCAAGGAAACCATTCATTTATTCCTATACGATTTTCATTATTGATGTGTACATTCACTTTTACACGACAGATGCGTTAATAATTATCTGTATCATCAATCATCCACAAGGCTGCAATTGGGTCCTTTTCAAACATAAATTCATGCATATCTATAGGATTCAGTTCCTCATATATTTGTAAAACTTTCTTTTTCAAATTTCACCATCGTACAAGATATTTCTAGTTCGTCTCTGATGCATCAGAGCTTGACATTTCAGCATCCTTCGCTACTTTCTTCCAGCTCCATTGGCACCCGTTATTAGATTGGTCAGCTTTTCTGAATACATCCAATACTGGCTTATAGAGTTGTAGTAGCATGTGGCTACCCAATTGTGAGGTTTCCTGAGCTTTCCAAACAGATGGATAACTCAAGAGAAAATTCTCCAGGACACTGTAGCTATTGCTCAAGAAACTTGCCTTTGATCTTATCAAATACTGGAATCGATTTGGCAATCAATCAGCCACTGGTGCAATTGCTTTCTCCACTGTTCACTTGTCCACAAGAACCTTTTGCAGTGCCATGCAGTGTGTGTAACTTCGATATATATCTACTGACTGAACCTCCTTTATCCAATAAATATCATTTCAATTACTCATCAATGAACCATGCTCATATCAAATTTAGGTGCAGAGGTAAAGATAGCATTCTAGCACATGACCAGTTACTGTGGTGGTTTCAATTTCTAGTCCCATCCTATCATCTGCAGAAAACTAACATAGCTGCAGACTTGTAGGCATCAACTGCTGTGGAGATTTTGTCATGAAATCTTTGTTGGTCGAACCGTCCCAACAAATAATTGCCATAGAAATGACCACACAGAATGATGTGGGTCTTATGAGCTGAGCCATTTCAACAAACAAAAGCTAAAAAAGACCATTGGAAGATGTTGGGATCATGGGTTGGGCAGTAAGCTCACTGCAGGAGGTGTTGTGTCCATTTCCTGATTTCCATCAGGCACCTGGTTTCCTATCGAGTCCAATTCCATGATTCTTTCTGACCTTCAGGTATCCCTAGAGCAGGTACAATAGCAGGCTATAAGCCAGCTATAAAAATATTTTAAAGAGATAAAAGAAAGAGAGAGAAGAGCAGCGGGCTACAGATCTGTAGTCAGCTGTAGCACGGACTCTAAGATGTAATGTGTGTATGACAAGTGGGATCAGGTATTAATAGTATAGTAAACAACTATTGTATGAGTTAGCTATTACATTGGCTATAGATGATTTGGAGCTAGTAGTGGGCTATACTATTAAACTTCTAGGTTTTCACATTAATTAGAGGGGTCCAGCATCTTCAACTTTGAAGCTTTATTCACAAACTGACTATCATGTGTCCTAACGTTTTCGCATATTGTAGAATTTCTCCTTCGCATTCTAGGGGCACATCACAGCAACTTCAGCTTGAATATTTATTCACAAATTGACTAGAGCTAGCAATTCTTTGACATTTTTTTCCCTCCAGGACTGGTTCTGCAAGAATCAGATTTCTATTTTTTTTTCACCCACTCTGATAATTTGTGGTACCCTGGGGGGTCAAATGTTCAGTGTCGAGTACTGTAATTGCTACAGTGGTGCAGTCAGCCTTGCTAACTCTAAGTTGGTAGGCTCCAAAATTTGTTCTCAGACAGGTCGTTGTTCTGAAAGTGAAATCGCCAACGACCATATTGTACCTGTCCTCCTCTTGAGCTGGACTAATCTATGTCACCTTCGCTTTCCAAGAAAAAATGTGATTCTCAAGCCATTGAGAGCAATCTGTTTGTTGATCATTTTTCTTTTCGCGATACCATGAAGGGCCAGTTTGAAATGTGGGGGCATTTTTCTGAATTTCTTTTTGGAATTCTCTGAACGTGGCCTGAATCTTGGCAAAACAGTTTTTTCTAGCATATGAAGTTGATGTATATAGCTTCATGTCTACTTGTGCATCAGTGCATGAGCTTTTCTAACAAAGTTATTTACTGACATGTCTCTAAGTTTGTGTTTTGTATTCATAAAGGTTTGTAGAACTTTTCAAAACAGTTTAAGGATCTGTAGAAAATTTGGTGCATGCTTGATAAATGGTACTATCGAATTTGGTGCATGGACATTTTTTTTGTCAGTTTTTCCCCAGAAAGGGTGGATCTCTGCTGTCGGATCCAAACAAGATATATGTTCCCTTTATGGCACATCTAAATTGACACTATGAAATTTCATGTTAATCACGTACTCTGCATAGAATCATAATGATGAAGAGTTTGACGACATGCTTGTACCCTATCTGGTTCCTGACTAGGGGATTTATCTGATATAATCGGCAGGCTGAAACAAGAATCAATTTAATTGCAGTGCATATCGGATTAAACTAGTGGTTATCATGTTCAGAGTTCAGTTTATGATTGGCCATACGAATTTTCCTTTATGCTAACCCTTCAGATCGCCAACTACCGATTGGCCCACATGTCGACGATTGAGTGATTAGTCTGAGTTCATTGCTGAAATCATATTTATATGTATTGAGGTCCATTCCCCGCGTCCAAATCAACCGTACCATCTTAAACCCATATTCCATTTGCAAGAAAAGAACAGAATATGTGCAACAAAGAACCGAGCAATTAATTAACAACCCATAAATAAAGTAAATAACCATAAATATTTCTAAAAACCTACCAAGACATTTTTTTCTGTGGTTTTTTTATTTTTGTTATGTAACCACAAAAGGATCTCCGATTCACGACTATGACTTCAAGATCATCCACCTCTAGATGATTTAAACAAAGACATCAATCAATATATCTTTTTTCTTCTTTAGTCTATTTGGAAAGAAAGAAACAACAGTGTGTTTAATAACTACATACAGTCTAGCCCGAGGTTATCGCGGCCATGGCGTAAGAAGCCACCCTTTGATGGCTTGCCGAACCTTCCTAGCTCACCTGTGCTCTTTGTGTAGGGTGCTAGGTCGCTAGGTCGTCACATTGTTAACGCGAGAATAGGCTTAAGATCTCTTGTTTCGTTTCCTTTTTCTCCCTCTTCTCCCCCTTCCTTTTAGTTTGGTTACACCTATAAATTTTATTCCTCTTAATATAATAAAGACACGCAATTCTTTTGTTGATTCCCCTAAAAAAAAATTCTTATCCAATATGTTGTATCTATTTCTACTATCATATCTTAACTACTTGTTGATATGAAAACACGGCGGCTTGTGAGATCCAAAATTCCGTTGTTAACACTACTATACTAGAGTCATTTTACTTATAACATGCACAACCCTTACAACTGTCTTAAGTGGTTCTCGATCGGTAGGGGTGAAGAACCTCTCAGAGCTATACCCCCGTGAGAGTATAGGCTTTATCCTAGAGGCCCGGGAGTATATACCTTTAAACTCCCAAACCAAACCTATAAATGTAAATATGTTTCCATAGTCTTGCGCAATCAATATATGTCAAATATCTTGCCTTGTTTTAAACTTATTTTTTGAGATTACATGGTAGGCACACAGATACACACATCGCTACACACACAACACCACACTCACACCCCGACAAATGTGTCCCCTAACACATGCTCTAAGAGATGGAAACCAGCAGCACATCCCTGATCTCACTAAAGTCCCGTTGAAAGCTCACATGTATGTGTGTAATATTTGTGGGCACCAAGATTTGAACCTAGATGGGTAGAGTCATGTGCCCACGACTCTATACCACACCACCTATGCTTCCCCTTTAGGACTGGTTATATACTATAGGCCTTATTTGGGGGAGCTTAAGATTCTGAGAATCTGATGGTTGGTAGCCAGTTTCTGAGAATCTGGAGAAGCTGTGTTTTCCAGCTTATAGGTTCTAATTCATTTTTTGTGTTCTACAACTACAGATTCTCAGAATTTGAGTGACAATCTGGACTATTTGGGAGAGCTGGAGATTCTGGGAGAAGCTGCACCCTGCAGCAGCTAGAAGCTCTCCCAAACCGGGAAATGCTGTTCGGCGATCGATCGCCCTAGGGATGGGGCAGCGATCCCTCCACCCCTCCACCTGGTTTCCTTTTTTGGCACCGCATTACTTTCCTATTTTAGTAAATTTATACACCTAAAGTTTATACATCTCAAGTTTACACATCTAAAGTTTAGAGACCAAAAGTTTATATATCCGATTCAAATTTGAATTTGAATTCAAATATTTTTTTATATATAGTATTTCTATACATCTAAAGTTTATACACCTAAAGTTTATAAGTCAAAAGTTTATATACCCGTTTTAAATTTGAATTTGAATTATATCTGATTCAAATTTGAATTTGAATTCAAATATTTTCTATATATAGTATTTCTATACATCTAAAGTTTATACACCTAAAATTTATAGATCCAAAGTTTATAAGTCAAAAGTTTACATACCCGATTCAAATTTGAATTTGAATTCAAAATTTTTATATATAGTATTCTATACATAAATTTTTCTAACTTTTATTTTTTTAAAAAAATTATGTGGTATACTGTAGTAGAAAGAGAAGAAGGGGAGGAGGAAGGGGGAGAAGAGGGAGGAATATAGGGGGAGAGGAGGCAAACCGATCGCTGGGCTATCGCCCGTTAGCCTCCCCCTCCCAAACAGGATCTATAGCATTAACATAAACATAACAATTCGAATTACCCTCAGACGGTTAAACCGGACAAGGACACATCAGGCGGGACCACCCTAAAAAAGCTCCCCTCCTTTTTACCCACGTCACCTCCCTCTCCGAACAGCACCGCCCCATGACCCCCACCCCCGCCCCAATCAGATAAGCGGAAAGCAACCTACGTTCTGTCACGAACGCCATCACGGCATCACGTCGATCCGTCACGGCCTCCTGCACTGCACAGTGTGGTCACCCCGTCCGTCCTTCCGCCCGCCCGTCCGCGCCACCAACCCAACCCCAACCGCGCGCGCGCGGAATTTCGCCCGCCGCGCCCCCGGCCGCGCGGCTACGGGACAACCCGCGTACGTACGTTCCTCCGCGTCGTCGTCGTCGTCGTCGCCGTCGTCGTCACCGAGCCTGAGCCATCGCACTCCGCGCGCCCGCGCGCCCGTGCCCGCTTGGAAGCGAGCAAACTGGTGATATATCGATCGAAATCAACGTGCGCGCGCGCGGCGCCTTTCGCACGGAGGGGGACGGGACAGGGCCGGCTCAAGGATCGGATCCCGCGACGGCGACGAGTGACGACTCTCTCGATCGCTGTTGCG